TCCACGGTGTCTCAAAGGTTGGGATTTCTTTCTTTCTCATGGCTGAATAATACTCCCTATATATATATACCACATCTTCTTTATCCATTCACCCACTGATGGACATGTAGGTTGTTTCCATATCTTGGCTATTGTGAATAACGCTGCAATGAATACGGGAGAGCAGATGTCTCTTTGAGATCCCGTTTTCATTTCCTTTAGATATATGCCCAGAAGTGATTGTTGGATCACATGGTAGCTCTATTTGGAGAGTAAAATGGTGGGTGCCAGGGCCTGAGGATGGGGGAAACAGGGAGATGATGTTTAAGGGAACAAACTTGCAACTAGTGGATACATAAGTCCTGGAGCTCCAAAGCACAGCGTAGTGATTACAGTGACTATAATGACACAGCACTGTTACATGTGAAGGAAGGGACAAGAAGGTCTGTGTTTGGAGGGTCAAGTGTGACTGGTATTTTTGAAAGCTGTGAGCAGGAAGCCACGGGGAAGCACAGAACAGCAGAGGGCGGGTGCTGATGGACAGGGCCTGGGACAGTGAGGGCAGAGGCTGGGCAGGAAACCGGCAGACCTCCCTCTCTTGGGAAGAACAGACCCAACAAGGCCTCCTTGCTGGTCCTACGAGGTACAGAAGAGTGACTACGCCACGACTGTGGTCTGGGTTCCCAAATTGCTAGGATGAGTGACACGTGGTTTATTTGGGGGTGGGGGGTGGGAAGTGGGTTAAGGCCAGCTCTTGTCCTAGAAGGTACAGACACAGTTCAGGGTGCTGGGGAAATTTCCTTCACTTTCTAAAGCCTCCCTGCCGACTTTCTTTGCTGGGGCTGCGGAGCTGGGAGCTAGAGGGTTTTCAGCCTGGAAAGCGTAAGAAGAGTCGGGTGAGTGATCGCAGATGGACAGACAGGGTGACCGCTGGGTGCCTGACTTATCTGGCTGGTGCTGGCTCCCCCTCCACCACGGCTTTGTCTTGTCTGGATGCCTTTGCTCAGCCCGGGGTTCCTGGGGGGCTGTGTTCAGTCCACGGCGTGTGGGTTCCTGGCTCATGGTCATGTCACCTGGGGAGATGACTCAGCATCTGGTGGGGCTCCCTAGAGGCGAGTGAGAAGAGGACAAAGACCTTCTGTGGCTCTGTCACAGTCTCTGCAGCTGCCATACAAGCCAAGAAAAATGCCAGCAAAGCCACTGCGATAAAGTGAAGCCTGGGCTCTTACACCAGACGGCACAGCTGAAAGGCAACATCAAGCCGACCAGTGTGACCCCCGATTGTGAGGATGTCGGCATAGCGCCCCCGTCAGCCCGCCCCTCTTCTCCTGCTCAGCCTCCAAGAGCACAGCCGCAGCAGGGGCCACACGAGGATTCCACAGGATTAGGGTCAATAATGACCCCTGGGGGTCCAGAACCCGGGAACGGCTTCCCGTCAGCTGTAGCTTTGGAGCATCGGCCACATCCTCACTCAGCCCAGAGTGCAGAGTCATGAGAAAGGACGGGAGTGAGTGGCGGGCACCTGTGAACCCACTTACCCCAGAATTAAGACATTTCATAAAAGGGGGCGATATGGTGGGGGGGATCTTTCCCTTTCCACGATTTTGAATTCATCCCTGTGGGAGCTGTAAGCTTTGCACCTAGAACTTTCTTCCAGCTCAAAGTACTGAGACTACATTGTGAACAAACATTTTCAGGAGAAACTAAGTCAAGTTGAGAAAAATCCCCAGTCCCACCACTCCAGATGGAAAGAGATTCTCCAACGTCCAGATATTTCCAGAGCACTGGGGGTGGGTAGAGCAAGCCCTGGACACGGGAGCAGACAATTGCAGGCACTGCACTTGTCACGTGCCTTTGAGGGGCTCCCAGAACTCCAGGGCAGCAAGCGGCAGCACAGGAGAGTTCACAAAGCCCATGAGGGGCACTGAGAGAGGAGAAGAGCCCTCGAGGCTGGCACGGGATGGACGAGGGGGCTTCATGGGGAGCAGGCTGCAGTCGATGGGAAAGTTGCATGCTCGTCCCCACAGGGGCATGGCTGTGAGGGCCACGTGGGGTTTTACTGGTGCAGCGTTCATCTCTGTTCTTGGCACGCAGCAACGCTAGATAAATGTCAGGGTAGATGCAGCCGGTGCAGTTCTGATGCTAAAATGCTGGCAACAGGGAGCAGATGAGGCTTCGGGCAGGGACTGGCCCAGACCAAGCAAGACGTCCCACTAATCCCTTGTGGGTGTAAGACCAGACGAAGGGGCAGATGCCTGAGGGAGAGAGAGGATGCCCGAACGGAGAGAGTGCTGGGCTGGTAGTCTCAGGGCCCCAGGCAGCCCCCCGAGACTCCAGCACTTTTCTCCCCATTTTAAGGGCCCAGGTTGAAGGCTGCCCTCTCTGGGTCTACTTGTTCCTTCCCTAACAGGAGTGAATCCCCATCTACTTGCCATCCCCTCACTCCCTACCCTTCCTGTCCCTGTCTTTGTAATACATGGCTTTGCAGCCCTATGTTATTTCCTGGATGGAACAAGAAGTCCCTGAAGGCAGGATCTCGCCTGCTCATTGCTGCATCCTTCACCGACCCAGGCCAGCAGGCGTCCAATGAAGGGTGATTGACAACAACAGTGAAGGATTAGTGGAAATCCGTTTGAAGGACAGAGGTCTGGGGAGCTGCCCCAGGGCCTTGGTGAACCAATGGCTCGTGGTGTTTGGAATAAGCCGCCCGCGTCCTGCAGACTCCCAGCTCAGCCCCGCCTGCCTGTGAGCCCAGGAAAAGCTGCACATATTTTCTGTCTCGACTTCCTCTCTGTAGAGTGGGAGTGGGGTTATCTCGCAGGCGGGGGGCCATGCGCTCGCTGAGGTGGTGCCGGCTTGCTGTGCTACTGCAGCAGCCATGCCAGGAGCTGCACTTCTGGCAGCTGATGTTCCACGGGGCAGGGGTCCACCGTAGTCCCAGGAGCAGCAGCAGCAGCTTTTCTTGGGGCCCCATTTAGGACTGCTTTAATCCAGGCCAAGGGGCAGTGGTGTGATGGTTAGTTTTAAGTGTGAATTTGGCTTGGCTATGATGTCCAGTTGTGTGGTCAAACACCAGACTGGATGTTGCTGTCAAGGTATATTATAGATGTGATTAACATTTAACATTTAAATCAGTGGACTTTGCATAAAGCAAATTACCCTCCATAAGGTGGGTGGGCCTCATCCAATCAGTTGAAGGCCTCAAGAGCAAAGACAGGTTTTCCTAACAATTAGGAATCTGGCCTCAAGACAGCAACATAGAAAACTTGCCTGAGTTTCCAGCCTACTGCCCTGTGAAATTCAGGTTCAAGATGCAACATCTACTCTCATCTGAATGTCCAGCCTGCTGCCTGCCCTACAGATTTTGGACTTGCCAACCCCCACAATCATGTGAGCCAATTCCTTAATAAATCCCGCCTTCTCTCTGTGTGTACAGCCTATTGGTTCTGTTTCTCTAGAGAACCCTGACTAATAAAACAAGGATCACAGGGTTTGGGGTTGCCTTTTTAACGAATCATGGCACCACCCAGGGAGGCCACACCTGCACAGTTCAGGTTGCAGTGGTAGCTGAAAAAGTCGGTCACCTGACTAGGTGGCCCCAAGAGTACAATCCACCTCCACGCTGGCCGCCACCATCCGTGGTCACCAGCCATCTTGCCTGCAGCCTCCTAATTTGGGGGCACTTTCTCCTCAGACCCCTGCCAGCACTTTCCACTAGATTCAAGAGCTCATTTCTTTCTCTTTGAGACCAGTTCCCCAGTCTCTGTGACAGCCCTCGGATCTCAGAAGCGAAGAACCATGAGCAGTTCAGAAGCACGCTGTACAATATAAAATTTATTATAAAACTTCAGCAAATATAAATATCCAGGCACCCACTCTGAGTGGAGCTACAGGCAGGAAAGGAGAACTAAAAGCAGCACCAATAAAGGGGGATGCTGGGGTCCGACGGGCAGCTTGTCGCTGGGACACTGTTGGCCTTCTTTCTGAATGGGTCTTACCAAAACAACCAAAATTTATGGAAAAAAAATTAAAAAACCCACAACACACACAAATGAAACACAGGGCTCTAAGGTCATCATGTCAGCTGATGTTCATCCCAGTGGTTGGGACCAACCACCACCCTTCATTAGGACGGCAGGGTTAGGTGTAACCGGCAATTCTCTAATTCTGGTGTAATCTGTAATGCTGTCATTTAAAAAAGAAAAGCGTTGAGGAATGGGTTCAAAGAGGAACACTCGCTTGTGAATAACTGAGAAAGATAACACATACAATACGAGATCCTCTCCTCCAGCGCGAGCGTCTGAAAGAACAGAAGCACCTTGGCGGGATTTCACGGTTCCCGTTTCCAGAGCAAAGTCTAGAATCAGGACGGAGTCCAGGTTCTCTGGGCAGGTCAGGCCCCCAGAGAGGACACCCGGCCCCCGTCCCTGCACCAGGCCCCTGTGTAGAGAAACTCAGGTCTCGGGGGCAAGGAAGAGGAGGCCTGGGGACACAGCCCGGGAGCTGTCCCGCCACCTGTGGCCACCTGCTTCTCCTGGTGGGACGGAGGCGGTATTCCTGACCTCGGGAAGGGGCCTCCAAGGTGGGAGGGAGGCGGCGCACTGAGCGGCGATATTTTGTTCCTGTTCCCCTTTCCTGGACTGTCCTCGTGTTTACACAGCACTGCACATGTGGCGCTGGGCAAGGTCAGCTCTGCCTGTCTTTCTGACCTGATGCGGCCAAAACACAAGTGCTGCGAGCACCGCTCCCGTCCTGCAGAGCTGGCCCTGCTGCCGGCCTCCACGCCTCAGCCAAACAGGAGAGCGCCTTCGTGTGCACACAGGGACGTGTTCCGACTCCCGATTCACATGCACACGCGCACACACACGCACACACAAACACACACAGTCATGTCAAAGAGCCTAACACAGTTTTTCCTCTTCCGGCTTCGGTCTTCCTTGGACACACTCCGATGGAGACCACGCAGCTCATCTGTGCTGAAACCAGGCATTGCCTCTGCCCAGGACGCGGCCCGACGCGCCTCACAGGTTGGATCTGGAGCACGTCCTGCAGCACTGCTCGCCGTAGAACTGGTGGCTGCACATCCCATGCTGGGGCACCAGGGGGCACCAGTGGAAGCGGTCTCTGCACGAGGCATCTGGAAACCAGCAAACTCCATGTCAGGCTGCCTGCCCAGCGCCCTAACGCTGCCAGCTAATGACTCTGGCTGGCAGATGGAGGTGAATGTGTCACTGCCTTGAAGCTGCCCAGGGCAGGTGGCACTTCAGGGAACAGGGGGCCACGGGGAACATGCTGTTTTCACAAGACCCTTCTTGGCACGTCCCCGCAAAACTGAAATTTTCTTTTGCGCTAATCCCACCCACTTAACCACTCACCCACCCAAGACCCTGGGCCCTCTGTCCACTGAACTTCGACTGTCTGACTCTCTGAGGGAGCCAAACCACCCCTCTCCTCCAGCTCCATCTTCTCTCCGAGAAGCCTCGACAGACAGGCCGTTGGTCTCTGCCAACCCCTGAGGCACGTGAGGGTCTGTGCACGGGGATGGTGTTTAGAGAATGCCCAATGAATAAGGTGGGCTTCTGCTTAACTGAGGAAAAAAGACTGCTTTCTTTAAAATTGCCCTTTTTGAATATGGTGAGTACCACTGAAATACAAAAGCAATCATGCTTTCCTAAAGCTAGACTTACTTCACCACCACTGATGTCATTTCTGGAGAGGCGTGAGAAATGAGAGGTGTGCTCTGTGGGCCACTTCGTGGGAAAACGAGGAGATGAAAAGACGGACACAGCAGACATGAGGCCTAAAATCTAGGGCCCTCTAACCAGTGGCACCCTTCTTCCTCAGGCCTTCTAAGGGACCGAGGCAGAAACTCGACAGCCCCACCCCAAACGCCAGGGTCAAGCCGAGGGGCTCCGGGCACTCACCCTTCTTCTCTGTGATGGGGCAGAAGTGAGTGTTGCAGGCCAGGGAGGCTGCGGGCTTCTGGTGCACGAAGCAGCCCCGGGCCAGCCGGCCCCCGACCAGGCACTGGACAGACCTCGTCTGCACGCCGCCCCCGCAGCTGGCCGTGCACTGCGAGAAACACACGCACGGCAGTCACCATGGCTGCCTCGTCCTCGGGCACCCCCTCTTCCAAGCTTCCCCCTCCCCCCCGACTCCTCAAGGCGGTCTCCCTCTATGACTGCAGGTGGCTGATCAGATTCTGGATCAATCCTAGGTATGGACGGAGGGGAGAAGTGCCTGGAAGTCTAGAATGTTCTTCAGTCATTGATAGTCTGATGGACACAAGGAAACTGGCGCATATCTGGGGATACTGGGGTCATCCCCTGGGCCTGCCGGGCTGTAGGTCTGGCGTGAAGAAGACAGTGCCTTTCACGGAATGCCATCATCAAGCCACCCTTTCTGGTGCTCCTGACTGGGAAAGCTTGACAAGCCAACTCCCACAGAGACAGGAGAAAACTAAGCCCCTTCTAGACCCCAAGTTCACACAAGCTGGATGCCTGGGCTCATTTTGTTACTGCATCTGCATCCCCCTAGGGGTGTTGTTTTCTGACACGGAGGCCCCCCAGTGCTCTAACGCACAACAGCACAGCAGAGCTAGAGAAGGAAAGAGTGGCAGCACAGTGGTTAGATCATCTTTCACTAGCTGGCCGGGCGCACACACCGCAGAGTATATGAGTGAGTCCATCTGAGATGAACTGTGGGCAAGACATCGGGAGATGGGGGAATCAGAGACACAGAGGAGCCCAAACCCGCAGCAGTTAATCTGCCGGAAAACAAAGCTACTCAAAGTCTAGACTGAATTATGTAAATTGTGCTCAAACAAGGTATGAGTTCGAAAATGTCAAGAATGTAGTCAATTAAGGAGCACCTGTGAGAAGGTGGGATCAGATAACCTTTTGGATGTTTCAGTGTGTGGTGCGTAAGCTAAACGGTTGCTTTAAAAGGTGAGGATAAAGCCGTGCAGAATTGGGGACATACATGACTCAGGCTGCTCGCCCAAGTGTACAGGACAGTGTGCCCGGACCCCATTCGAGCAAGTTAAGGCAGCAGCCCCGGGGCTGGTTTTCCACAGCCAAGATCAGCCTGCAAGTGAGCAGCCAGCTGCTCTCCTGCCTCCTTCTCAGGACCTGCTGCAATTAGAGCCGTGCAAAGTGGCTTTTCTAAATCCCCTGGGGCAGGGACTCGGTGATGGAGCAAGTAAAACACCTTCGTCTGCTCCTTGAGATGACAGAAGTTGAAAACAAGAGTCTTGAAAACTCATAAGCTGAAGGAGTTGTTCTTTATTCCTCTGTAGGTAAAGGATGGCTGGGGCCCCGGAGGTGAAAATGCAGGGGGTCAGCTGATAAGCCCGTGGGTCTGGAACATTTCCGTGAGGCTTACCCCCTTCTCTTCAAAACCAATTTCAGCAAAAGCTGCCAGTAATACAGTTTCAACATGCGACTACAGCCACCGGGAAAAAATAATGTTCTGGGCGGATTCATGTCTGATTTCTGAATCATCAGGCTCGTCCACGACAGAGCCAGATGTTCCCATTGTCTAGTACGTCTTTCTGAACATTCCGGCAGAACCACAATCTGGCCTTTGCACCTTGACTCTGCGTCTCAGACCCTCCCGCAGCTCAGACCGTGGGCTGGGAACCTTAGGAGCGAGGGCTGTGCTGGGACAGCCATTAGAGCTTCTCACTGGTCACATCCACATCCACAGGTATTGACAATGACTCCTGCCCGGGAGCTGGATTTCTTTCAGCAGCAGCAGCTGAGGCAGAATTCCATTCTTGCTAATGATATTATGCCTCAATTAGAAATCAAGAGATCTGGCCATCATTTGTCATCGCTTAGTGCCAAAATAATTAATAAGTGGTTTGACTCTTTGTCACTGATTCCTTTATTCACAAATACGAATCACTCACCTCCCTTGTACCAGGCACTGATCTAGGCACTAGATACTGAGTGGTGGACACAAGCGAATCGCCCCTTCCTCAGGGTACTCACAGAACGTCCCTGCTCAAACTGCAGTCCTGGACCAGCAGCCCGGGCATCAGCTGGGAGTCTGTTAGCAGCGCTGACTCAGCATCCCTGCCTCCCCCGGACTCTGCCCCAGAATCTGCACAATCCCTGCCTGATTCATATGCACACCACGTTTGAGAAGCACTGGGCTAGAGAGTTCTAAAATTCCCATGAGAAAAATATTTTTGGGCGAAAAAGCCTCCAAATTTCTCAAAATTTGCATCTCTTCATTTAAACTGAAAGAATTAAGATGTTTCATTGATAAAGCTGGTGAAACACCAGGAGATGGAAGCAAAAGAAGAAAGCTGAAAATTTTTATTCACTTTTCTTCCCAGGAAGGAAAAAAAAATGCAAGTTGTTCATCAATATCACAAACATAATGACTTGAAACTCGGCAGGGGTGTTGAGAATTCACTTTCCAGATTTTCCGGTGGATCTGCGATTCACAAACAGACTGATGCTAAGAATCACCTGGATCCCTTGACAACTGTGCAGATTCCTGGGTGGAGACCAAGGGGATGGAGCGTGTGGGAGACCAGGAGGCCCGCGGGTGTGGTGGGCAAGTCACACGACCCACTGCCTTTGGGAAAAGTGATACTCGGTGGCGTCTCCCTCAGCTTGCTGGCGTTTAACCTGAGCATCTGAGGCCACTCCTCCTACTGATGGCAGGACAGAGGAGGCCAGTGTGCTGCCTGGTGATGGTGACCTGCACCTGCTCCTCGACCTGTGCACAGTGACAACTGCCGTGGCCACCTGTCCAGACCCCCTTCCTCTTGGCTCCACCTCCAGAGCAGTGCCTTCGGATCACCTGCAGACTTGTGAAAACAGGTTGCTGGAACCCACCCCAAACCCCGGGCTTCATCAGGTCCGGGCTGGAACCTGGGAACCTGCATTTCTAACCACGCTGCTGCTGGTGCAGAGGTCAGGGCACACCTGCAGAACCACTGCTCTAGACGATCAGAATTGCACCGGCAAATGCCCTTTATTCTTTACTTTTCCTTCTCTTTTCTTTTCGGAACTGACTTCAGTTACATCTAAATACGACAAAAGTGGTGCATAGAGCCAATGTCTGGCACGACTGCAAACATGCGAGTCCTCTTGGAAAGGGACAGCAACTTTTCCCATGTGTGGCCTTGGTGGTCACTGTCATCCTGCAGTCACGTGGACTGCTCCCGCTCACCCCGCCCCCACCTTGCTTACTTCTGCTCACCTTTCAGGGCCTCAGTTTAAAAGTCCCATTACAGCCTTGGAGAGGACCTCCATGGGTCCCTACTCTAAAGGAACCCTCCTCTTGCGTTAGACCCCTCGTAGTGCTGTCACAGCTGTTTCTGCTACATTCCTGTGGATGTTTCTTTAAGGTCTGTGGCTCCTACTGGTGTGAAAACTCCCGGAGGGCAAGGATAAGCCTGTGGGATGGGTGAGTCAATCTGTGTCTGTTTGTGGAGGGGGATGAGGCCCCTTGCGGGTGGGTGCAGAACGTGCACAGGAACATCACCGTGCTCTGGAGAGACATCCTTGTACTGGCCTCTCCACTGCTGCCAGGACCTTCGGGTGCCTTAGAAAACCCCTCACTCTGCCTCTGGCTGTTCAACTCAAGCCTGCCTCCTTTACCCAGGGCTGGGGCCATTCAAGGTGAGCCAGGGCCTCTTTCCAAGACTGTCCAACTGGGGCACTGGATGTGGAAAAGAGTCAAGCAGGATCCAAGGGACGGCCTCCGAGGTCAGCAAGTAGGATCCTTTTGCCATTCTAGGATTAATTGACCTTCTCAAGGGCAACAGCACCCCCTTCCTCACCTGGGAGACCACCGTGCTGACTTGCACACTCTGAAAGAGCAGGCTGCATGAGCCCCAGACTTTCAGGGATTATAACTGAAGACATCTACTGAGCACAAATTTTCCAGAACATTGAAATGCTGCAGAACCTCTCCTTTCCTGTTTCTTAGACCTCAGTGGGTGCATCCTGTCTCTCCAAGTCTGGATCTTCTGCCCAGAGTAGCTCTTCCCAGAGACCAGATGTCTACCCGGTTCAGCATGGGTAGCACAAACCTCAGTAGCCTTATTATGACAACTTCTGCTCTAAAATAAATGGGGCTGTGAATTTTTGTACAAATTCAATTAGTTACAAACTCCTCCAACTCAGGCGGCAAGTACTGTGACCTCATCCATCAGTGTCAGCAAGATGGTCCTTGTTTTCCTGTGCACCACCCATGACTGCACGACGATGAGAGCAGATTCAGCAGTGAATTATTAGCGGTGGGCAACTGGCTATGTGTGCAGGGCAGCATCCTGTGATGGACCGAACACATTCACCCAGTCCAAGCCTGCTGAAGTCTCTACCCATTTTTTGTGTGCCCATGTGTGTCTCTGAGTGTGTGCATGCCCGTCTGTGCACATACCTGTGTGTGTGTGCCCACGTGTGTCTGTGTGTATATGCCTATGTGTGTGCATGCCTTTGTGTGTGTGCCCGGGTGTGTGTATACATGCTTGTGTATATGTGTGTGCATGGCCTGCCCGTGTGTGTGCATTTGATACAAGTTGGATACAACTGTAGTCATAACTGCCATGGTAGAAAACCATACTGACTGTCTGTGACGCAGTTCCTTGCCCCTCAGAGCCATGGGTTTCCAGGTCAATCTGTGCACAGTCCTGGTGAAGAGCCCTGGAACGAGCCAGGGCCAAACACTCCAGCACTGAGGATATACCCCCATCTCTCACATAGAATCAGACAGACAGTCCAACAGGTGTTCACATTGAAGCCATTTCCAGACCAGATTAGAATGTGAACCACCCGTCATTAAGCTCAAACGAACCAAATGATTTAAGTCGGTCCTACCAGGTGACACGACATTCAGTGTGATGACAAGCAAAGCCATTTAAACCAACAGAAACCCTGCAGATCAAATAATAGAAACCACGACCTTTCAACTGCTACAAGAATAAACCTGTCTGGGGGCGAAGTTCAGCCAGGCACCGGCCATTCATTACAGCCCGACAATTTCCCACAGTTCGAGGTCACAGAGTCTTGGGTACCAGTGCTTATGGCAAACATAGCCCTTTGAGTTATTACTCCCAAAAAGTTACAGTCTCAGAACATAAAAGATGAATCACACTGGATAAAACCATCAGGCGGCCTATGATAAAAATGACTTATTAGACAAACAGATTGAATATTTCAGACTGGTGAAAGCTATGAAAGATGTATTTTAGGTTCTAGGTTTTGGTTTAAATTCAATAATGATAAACCTTGTTTTTCTCTTTCTAAATTTGCCTGAAGTCTCTGAATTGAGCAGAGTGGGGTGAACACTGGCCTGGCAGCAGAGGGTGGGGAATGGATTCAGCTTCCCAATTGACAGAGGGGCAATGGTCTCAGGAAACCACCTCTATTTGTCTCTGACCCACACTTCTCAAAGGACAGAGAAAGCAAAGTGTCTGCCCAAGAAACACCTCGACTCAGCTTCCTAGCTCATCCCTGGCTCCATCTTGCTGGGAAGACTGTGTGCGCAGAAGAAAGTTACAAGGGGTCGCCTGGGAAAAGGGTGTAGCTAATGATACTTCTGGTCTATTTAAAATAGGAAATGGGAAAGCGATATCTAGCTCAAGCTCAGCCAGCCTGCTCCAATAATCTGAACTATTTTTAATTTGAATACTTTTGGGGAGGGGTTCATACATTTCTAAATGACAAAGCTACATTGGGTTTGAAGATACACAGAACCGTAAGTGGAGCTGGAACACTGGGGGCGGCGTGTAGCGTTGGTGGAGGGTCTCTCTTCCACCAAGGACTGAGGGAACGGTTCCCTTCTGCAGAACTCAGACACTGGAGCCGGGAACTCTTGCAGAGGCACCAGAGGTATGGCGGGGGCTGTCACGGTTTTGTAAGAAGTTTACTGATAAATAGCCAGCCCCGGGCTCACATGGACACAGACAAAGATCCAACAGAAAGAAGTGGTGGCGTCAGTTAAAGGGGATTTTGAACTAGTTTTATTCTAATAAAATTTTAGCTAATATTGAAAAAAGACTCCATGATGGATTAAGTTGGTTCTGATAAATATTTCTGTCTGTTTCCTTTGGGCTTAGATAAAAATAATTGTGTGCCATTTTTGCTCTGTTGAATTTGTGCATTCCAGTTCCCTAGTCAAGGCTGGGTTTTCAGGAGGGGACTGCTAATTATAAGTGCTGGTGGTAGGCACCCCTGAGGGAGCGTGGATGCAGAGCTGGGGTTACCTGCTCGGTGGGGAATCAGGAGAGTGAGGAGTGAACGAGCCCGCAAGCCTGTCACCTCTCAGCCCTTCCTGGCATCAGGGGACCACGATGCACAGAGCCTTGAGGTCTCCCCTCCGAGCCCCACATTTCTCCGGCTAGAGAAGGCCCAGTGGTGGCAGGCACTACAGTATTGTCAGATTCAACTCCTATCGTTCGCCTGCCCTTGCCCACTGGGACCTCATTCTCTGGGGGGTCGGGAAGAAACACAGTGGGACAAGGACACAAACCACCACCATAATAGTTGCCTGGAGCTGCCGTAACAAATGACCACAAGCTGGGTGACTTAAAATAACGGAAGCAGCTCTCACAGTTCAGGAGCTAGGAGTCTGAAGTCAAGATATCAGCAGACCAGGCTCCTTCTGGAGGTTCGGAGGGAGCATCTGCTCATGTCTCTTCCAGAGTCTGGCGGCTGCCGGCAATCCCTGGCGTTCTTGGCTTGTAGCTGCATCGCTCCACCTCTGCCTCTGTCATCTAATGGCCTCTCCCCCGTCTGAGTCTGTGTGTCTTCACACGGTCTTGTAAGGGTTTAGGGTCCGCTCTAATCCAGGATGACCTCATCTTAACTAATTAGGTCTACAAAGGCCCTATTTCCGAATAAGGTCACATTTTGAGGTTCTGGGTGGACATGAGTTTTAGGGACACTGTTCAACACAGGACACCGTGGATGACATGGTGAGGTGGGCCTCCTGAGAGGAGAGATGTGCAGCGGCAGGCTGGAGGGGGCTCTGGGAAGGGCTTTTGTGCCAGGAGGGATTAAAGGTGGACTGTAAAGCATGGATGGGGTCTCCCGGGTGGAAACAGGCTCATGTCTGGAGGATGAGAAAACACCGGAGGGGACTCAGGTTGTGGGAGAGCTGGTCAAAGTCGGGGGCCAACGGTCCAGTCTGGCTAAGTGCGTGTGTTTTCACTGGGTCATAAGTCCCTGGTCACTTCTTGTGCCTCCACCCTGGCTGGTGCGCTCAGCAAGCACCTGACCCCATGGGCCCTGATTTCCAGCACTGGACATCGATGTCCATTCCAGGACAGGTGGTGCAGACAAGGGACACCTTGCCCATTTAGCAGCCTGCCCAGCTGGCAGTCAATACCAGGAATTCTTCAAATCCTTAATAAAACTTACCCAATCAAACTCAGTTACTTGTTTCTGTGAGGGAAGGGACCCAGCAGCCTGACCGGGAAGTGAACCGTGGACGACTATTTATGAGCCTGTCAGGCCGCATTCCCCCCACCCTCTTGTGAGGGGGCTCTCCTCCCTCATCTGATCAGGAACACAGACTTGGGGAGATCCTCGATGGTGACCAGAAACACACGCTCTAGCCTGCGGCATGCCAGCCACACTAGATGGGTGTGTGAGTTTCCAGTTCAGCCCCGGGCAAGCAGGGAGAAGGCGTGTGGCTGGTGAGTGAGGATTGCCTTTGTTTATTCAGGATGATGTCCTTACACATGGGTCTCTCAACAGAGCACACAGTATTGATAGACGATGAAAACAAAACCCTGAGACAAGTGTGTCTTTGACTGTGTGTGCTGGGAGAGGAAAGTCCTCTAAATAAAGACCATAAGTGGCTGCCCTGACTCACTCATTGAATTTGTTTTTCCTTTAAAATTCACACATTCAGCAAACATTGCCTGAATACTTCGTATGGACGAGGTGCCCTGGTAGGCACTGGGGGCTACATATATATAATATGTATATATGTACTATGTATCCACACACATAGGCAAATATACAGAATACACATGTAAAACACTTAGCATAGTGCTTGCCACAAAGCAATCTCTGGGTGAACCTCAGTCCCAATGGTTATTTTGTAACCATATCTGCTTTCAAGCAGCTCATGTCCAGGTGGGCAGCCATGACCTCTGACTCCTCACCAGACTGAAGGACAAACAGCACAAGATCCAGGGCAGGAGGCGTCTCCACTCTGGGGTCTGTATTCTGTCCCTGCCTCCTTTTGGCACAGGACTCTGGGGCTCCCCTTCGGAAGCTTGGGGGTGTGGGCATGCTCCCGCGAGGGCGCCCCCACTCTCTGTGGGAGGGACAGTTATGCTGAGAGCTCAGAGCAGCCCCCAGCAGTGCAGGCTCCCGGGAAAGGCTTGGCACGAAGAGTGAGTGAGTGGGTAAATAGGCAGATACGACACTCGGTCACTCTCCAGGTGGGGCCGACTTCGTGGGCAGGGGAGGCCGGGCCATATGCTGCTGACTGGGTCACTCCTACAGCACCAGGCACTGAGAAGACCTTTTGGGAAATATTTCTGAAGAGAGACAAAGGCAGGAATGTTCCTTTGAAAGTGACAGAGGACAGACATCAACTCAGGGGTCCTTGGGATCAACTGCTAGAATCAATGAAGGCCCCCCTGTGGGCCCTGAGAAGATCCTTTGTGACGGGGGCTTCTTGGTGGGGAGATGCCCCTGTGCATCTGATAAACTTAGGACTTCACCATGGGCATGTTGGAGCAAATGTCACTTGAGGCGGTTATGAAGACCCGGCCAGGACCGAGGTGTTTTATAAGGGGGGAACCATCATTTCCATTTGCTTCCTAAAAACCACCATTCCGCAGTGTGCCCGTGATGACAAGGGGCTCTAACCTGGTATTTGTTGTGCTGCCCAGAGCAGGGCTGGGACAGAGCAGGGCACCCCAGGGGCCAGGCTGAGGTGGCAGGATCCGCCCCAGGCGGATCGAGGCAAAGCGCCCCCTCCTGGGCAGACGCAAGCAGTGTGGGCGCTCAGAGTTTGGCCAGTGGGAGATAGCTTAGGACAGGTCAGCCCCTCGCAGCCCCCAGGCCTGGGTATACTCCGACTGCGAGCAGAAATACCAGCAGGAGCAGGAGGAGTGGGGGCGTGGACCCCGGACAGGGAGGGATCCGAGACACAGGGCAGAGGGGCAGAACCACGCGTAGAGAGGGGAGCGGGGCGCAGTGTGCGGAGCCCAGACCTGGACCAGGGAGGAAGGAGGGCGGTTAACTACAGAAAGAGCAGAAGTCTTCCTCAGAGTCAAGGAAGTGTGGAAGGAGGAGGGGGTGGGGGACACGGAGGCCCCAGACAAACCCCGCAGACTTCACTCGGCCTGGGCTGGCTGTCCGAGGGCCCAGGCAGGACATGATCATTTTCCGGGGCTCCACCCCCGTTCTCATTTGCGCAGTTTCGCGGCTAATTTAGTATAATCTCACAACCACCTACTTATTCCTGATCTCGTACTTCATCCCCATTCACACTCGCCTCTGGGGAATTCCGCCCAGCTTTTACCAAACCCACTACATTTTCCTACACTTAATTGGGTGACGACTTAGAACAAAGCACACGTGCCCTGAGGATTCAGTATCTTTGGTGATCACCCTGGGAAAGCCACACCCGCCCCCAGGAACGCGGGCGTGCGCGCGCACTCTGGAGAGAAGGGTCAGGAACCGGCTCGGTGGTGTTGGGGACGCACCGTCGCAGAAACTTGCCCACCCTAGCGCGCCGCCAACGCCGGAGCAGGGGCACTGCCCGCCCACTCTTCGGGAACCTGGAGCCCCTACCTGCGACCAGGGCGAGGCGAACCAGCCGGGCCGCGGGGGGCCCGCGGCTGCGTGCACCGGGGGCTTGGGGCACGGAAACAGGGCGCAGGCGCGCTCCAGCTCCAGGCCGGGCTGCGGCAAGTGCAGGCACTTCTTCGAGGCCAGCTCGCGGTACTTCCCAGAAATGTACTTCTCAACACATTTTAAGAATCTCTTCTGTGTTCCTCCTTCACATGTAGCAGAGCACTAAAAATAAAAGAAAACAAAAGACGTGTGTGAAAAATATTTCTTCTGTGGTAATTGTCTCTTTTACAAAATCATTGAGTTGAAATGTGTCCGGATGATATCAGCTTGGACATTGATATAAGTGAAAACATTCAGTGAAATTTATGGGACCTCAGCATTTTAAAAAGGCGTTACAGTATCTGTCATAAAAAAAGGAGGATCTTGAGGTCACAGAGGCCATGAAACCGGAGTAATTATAAAGCTGTCATTTCACTGGGAAATTAAAATGTTGGGCTGTAACTGACATCAGAATGCACTGAAATCTAATACACAAGGACGTGAGGTCAACCCGACATCTCCAGAGATTAACACCACCCAACTCCAGACGCTGCTGGCCCTAAAGCAGGGATGGGCAGAAGACACCCACGGGTCACAAAGCCAGCCCAGAAAGCCGAGTGTCGCCGGTGAAGAGAGCAAGACGCATGGGAGAGCAAACCCATCTGTTCCCCACCGAGGCATGCTCTAAGCCAGAGCTGTCACCACTGTGCAGTGGGCCCCTGGGCAAGCCAGCGGGCCAGGCAGAGGCCGCCGCCACCTGTGGAGCAGGAAGGACACAGCAGGGCAAGGCGCACTGTTGTACCACGGGGCTGGGCTCCGGGGTCTCGGGAGAGAGGTCGCTGCCTTGGACTGGGGAGTGTGGGTGATGCTGAGCCCGATGGGCGATTCTATCTGGGCTGAAGAGTCTGCGGGTTATATAAGCCGGGAGCCAGGTGGCGGCACCTGCCGGGGTCTGGCCTCGCACTCACGTGCTTAGGGTCACAGGTGTGCTCCGGGTGGGCCTGATGCCAAGGTGGAGACCGAGCTGGAAGACCCCTCTCGAGTGCCTGCTGGGGCTGTGCCTAAGAGAATAGCTCTGGGGTGTGTGTGTGCGTGTGTGTGTGCGTATGTGTTAAATATTCAAAGTGAGGACTCTCCACCTGGATACCACCCACAGATTATACAGCCCTGGTTACTTCCTTCCTATGGACTCGACTATTGGGGATACGCACAGAAAGAAAGGTCTTTTCTAGTGACAGTGCGACTTGTCCGACCAGACGCTGACATTCCTGTGTCCCAAGTGAGTTCTTCCGTAGCGATGGCAGGCTTACTTCATCGAGCGGCCATGTTTTTATTTTTCAGTGGCAAACTGAAACGGTTGTCAGTGGGGTGAAATGCCCTGCTCGGCATAGCCGTCCCTTTACTGACTGATTCATTCCGCCATCCTGAACTGGCATCATTCGAGGTATGGGGGGGACGAGACCCCAGGTCTGCCCCTGAGGAGCTCAAGATTGGGGAGCTCAGGGCTCTCTCCCCACGGTTGCTGCGGACAAGCAGGGTCCAGCTCTGGGATTACGGAGGGGGTCTCGCAACACCCCGTTCAGACAGGGCCAGCTCGGTGGGTTGCTGCTGGCATTCTGTGGATTGTTAGCTTTCTGATGTCCTTTGGGGCTTTATTAACAACTACATCTCTGAGTTGATTCACTCCACGATTAAGGAGCTTCGCACATGCCCCTCAGGCAGCCCCCTGTGTGTCAGCTGCACCAGTGGAGGGGGGCTGGCATGGGGCCGTCCCAATGTCCCCTTCCTGGTGTGAGATGCTGTGCTGGGTAGAGGTGGCAGCTCTGTCTGCACCCTCACGTAGTGTCCTGGCCTTCACTTAGGCTAAAGCGAGGCACAAAATCTTGAACACTCCAAACTCACGTTTGCAAGTGTTAGTCTCAGCATAGCAGGGCCAGGACAGACCCCGAACAACGCAAATTGAGGTGGCTTCCCAGCCTTCAGCAGAACAAGGCGTGGATTTCAGCAAACTCAACATAAGTAGTTTATTCCCCAAACATGGAGACTGCCTAAGGACACCTGTCTCAGGAAACGAGTTCCCTGTCTCTTCTCAGGGTAATGCACCCTCCTCCTGCTCTACACCAGGTCAGCACTTCCAGGGAAATTGCTGTGGCTGTTCTGGAGTTAGGTGGGTCCCCACCACCCCACTGACAGCGTGATGAATGCCCTCCTACCCTCACACTCGCACCCTGTTCACCCACTCGTCCTCTGCTCAGCACTGATTGGGTGATGACGCGTGCATGCCACTGGGTGAGATGCCTGAAGGACACGATCCGGAAGCCAAAGGAGACTTCAAGGAGTGAGGTGCCCTGAGGTTGACTGAGGCCCAGAAGGGCGGCCTGAAGCTGGGGTGGGGGACCAGAGACTCGGAGGAATAGGAACGGGGAGCAGTGAAACAAAGCCAGGAGAGGCAGCCCCGAGGGGGAGAGCTGGTCCACCGTTCCCCCGGCCCAGGCGCACCTACCTGGGACCAGGCAGACACAAGCCACTGCAGCTTCTTGTGTTTGTGGCAGCGCTTAAGCAGACAGGCTTCGTGAGTCCTGGGCTTGGGCTCCGAGGTACACACGGCGTCGGGCAGCAGCTGTGCCCTGGCGGAGGGGTTGGTGCTCTTACAAGCCACGGACCTCTTCCTCCATCCCTTCCCGCAGGTTCGCGAGCACTGGGCAGAAAGAGCAAGCGCCAGCTCCCAGCAAGGAATGAACTGGACCCTGCTGGGGTGGGGGTGGGGTGGGTCCCAGGCCACTGGCCTGTGAGGCCCAGTGAGGATCCAGCTCTGCATTCCACAGGAGGGGCCCAGCTGCCGCCCCCCCCCATGTCAACCCCGCCCCAGTTACCTCTGCCCAGGGCCCGGTGCTCCAAGCGGGCGGGCAGCTCTGAGCGTGGCAGGCCTGTCGGCTGGAGGGCACAGGCTGTGGACACAGGCTGGCCGGGACGCGCTCTGACTTGTAGTGTGCCCGCCGTGTGCACTGCACGGGCCGGCTCTGGGTTCCCCCACCGCACGTCCGGCTGCAGGCGCTCCAGTTCCCCACGGACCAACTGGGAGGGGACAGAGAGACCTGCGGTGAGGGACAGGGCCACCTCTCCAGGAGAGGAGGGGCATGTCTGTCGGGGCATCGGCCCCATCATTTCCCGTCTGCAGTCTACCTGCTTGTAATTATATTTAGTCACCAGAGAGGGGTCTCCCTGGCCAGGTTGCTTTCACTTCCTTGATTAGCAGCATTCCTGATGGTCATTCTTCCCCCTCTCCCAGTTTTCAGGTTCATCTGTATTCACAACGTGTCTGTTTTCCCTTTAACTTTATTTTTAAATGGAAAATTTCAAAATACAAAAACAAAGGCCTCTGTGTCCCCATCTGCTCTGCTCAACTTCAAAGATTATCAACTTATGCCCCCAACCCCTACAGCATATTGAAGCAAATTCCAGATGTGTAAATATTTCAATATAGATCTCTAAAAGATAAGGAGTCTTTGTTTTTCTAACATAGCCACAATACCATTATGCCGTCTAAAAAATTAACTATAATCCCTTAATATTGTTAAATATTCAGTGTTCCATTCCCAATTGTGTCATAAATGTTATAATTTAATCTGCTTGTTTGACTCAGAATCCAAATAAAGGCCACACTTTGCAATTGGTTGACGTGTCGTTCTTCCCTTTTAATCTATAGGTTCTTTCTTAATCTCATTTATTTTTCTATTCAATGTATTTATTACAGAAGGATTACTCACCTTACTGAGTCTCCACAGATTTCTTTTGGCCGATTACAGGATTTTGCAAATGACATCTCTGTGGTATCACTTAACACGTTCCTCTGTCCTTCCTATAATTTAGTAGTTAGATCTAGAAGCTTTATCAGATTCAGTCAGTCAAAAAATTTTTTTTGCGTGATGGCTTCAAAAGCGATAACTGCCAGTAGGAGGCTAACAACATCTGCTCATTTTTCTTTCAATTTGTTAGCAGCTGTTGATGTTTGAGAATATCATCTCTCAAAGCAACTTTTCTTTCTTTTCTGGTTATAAAAGTATTCCTTGTCGATGTGTATGTTGGCAGATGATGGAGGCTGGATGGAGTTGGGTCTGGGCTCGGCCCAATGGCACCACTGTTTGGTCTCAGATAAGCCTGGGTATGTCTACAAGGCTGTCAGCTGGCTTGTACAAGTCCACCTTCAGGAGAGCGTAAGGCACACACTTGGGGGGGCATGTGAGGACAGAGAGGTCCAGGAGGTGAAATGTGGTCCAGTAATGAGAACTCACTGGGCTGGAAGGCCTTGGCTCCCTCCAGGAGACAGCCCTTGGACTCTAAGAAGACTTGATGGCTTTCACTCATATTCGTTTTCCTGTTCAGGGCACTTAAGTAAAAACTGAAAATTCTGTGGAAAGCTTTGGGGCCCAGGGGGCTCCACCTTAGTGGTTGTGGAAAAACAGCACTGAAGGGAAAGGAGAAGCCACGATCTTCTTCCTTCAGACAGCACAGCCCAACCTTCCTGCAGGGAGGAGCACGATCGCCAGCAATGCCTCCCCCTCGCCGAGTTCCCAGTATGCAGTGTGGGTCGTGTTGGGGGTCATTCAGGGACAGCGAAGCCAGGGGAGCTGCCCGTGAGGCTCTGCCCCCAGCCAAGTCTTCGAAGAGGGCTCTGGGGGCCCAGAGAGGAACGTTCTGTCTTCTGTTCCACAGCATTTTGGAGTAGGAGTTAACAGAACAATGATTTTCTCCTGAATGTTGAGGTAAAACTCAGGATCTGTGAAGATGCCCTGGTTCATCCTCTGGCTTCGTGAGGTCCATCCCCTTCCCCCACACTGCACCCTGATAGTCACACCCAGGCGGGGCACCAAAGCAGCAGCCAGAAGGCTTGGTCAAGAGGTCATGAGATGCCTCTCGAAACGCCCCGTACCACGGGAGAGGCTTTGTGAGGACTGAGGTGTGGGAACCCGAGTTACACAGAGAGACCTGAAGAGAAGACAGAGACTACCCAGAGATAACCACAGTAATGGGTTTCTCACATCACATTTGCTTCTGGTGCTTTCTGTGTGTGTGTGTGTGTGTGTGTGTGTGTAAATATTTTTTTTTAACGTGGTTGAGGGCAGGCAGTATATGCAACTTTTAAATTTGGCATTTAAAAATTCAATGTCTAAAACAAGCATTTTTCTTACACTGCAAAGCATTTGTAAACATATTTCCCGAGTCTGTAATTTTCACGGTATGGACCAAGGTATGTGAATAGCTAAATAAGGAAAGAAGGCAAAACAGCTTGGGTTCCATGTTCCAGGAGATCCATGAACATCCTGAAATTATACCAGTTCTCAGTGTGCCCTGCCTGTCAGGATCTCTAAGCAAAATGCCCAGCACTTTTCTTCAAGTTCTCCTAGGAGTCCGTGACCCAAATACTTTTAGAGCCAGTGCTTGGACTCTTCTGAAAGTTCTAAGGATAATTTAGGTGGTGGAAGAAGGAGAGGGAAATTGATGATGCTTTGTGGATAGGAAACAGAAGTGAACCCTCCCCAGGACTGTTGGCAGCCCTGTCGTATTACTTGGCACTTTTAGGCTGAGTTGTCACATGAGAGTTTTACCCTGTAGAAGCCTTGAACTAATTTATACCAAGTGTTTCCCCTGAACAATTTTCTAAGAGAATGATAAAAAACAGTAACGCCAAGTTTTATTCATATAAGAAGAAACCATGTCAGGCTTGTGGGAATTGTTCCATACCGATGGTGGAAATGCTTCCATTTTGCAGCGTCAACAAGATCAGTGTGTTTTATTTCATGTTATACCATGGATATTATGCATCATTGTTATGCAACATCGGTTTTTGGCCTCATGGCTGTGATGATTCTGCACTTGGAGCCTCACGGTGGCTTTTGTGTTGTTTTTCTGTTTCCTCCCATTTCTTACATTTGCTCTCTTAACCCTGCAGCCTTATAAATTATAATTGGTGTGTCCACACTGGGGCTGCAAAGACGTCTTGGCTGCTCTCCGGCTTTTCACACCGCCTCGTTAAGTCCTCTGTCTCCATCATCGTAAGCTGTTCCAGGGGTTGATCCATTCTCTGCCCTCTCCTAATGGCATGTCGTTAAGAAACCCTCCTAAACAAAGATCGTTCACAGGGCATCTGGAAACGCCAAGTGTCTGTTTTGTTTCACGGGCAGAGCTCTGGGGAAATGCTTGATTTCAGCTCATGAGAGAGTCAGAATCCACGCGAGCTTCTGTGCTGATGTCTGAGGTTCCGGGAGCAGAAGCGAGGGGTGTTTGGCAGCCAGGCAGTGGTCATATTGTCCCACTCTGCTCTGTGTTTCCTACGTCCACCAGTTGGAACAAAGCAGGTGGCTGGTATTACCCAAGTCAGCCAGGCTTCCCAGGTGGGACCTAGAGGACTCAGCCGCCCAGCCACGGGGTACTTCCCCCGGCCCAGGGCTCCCCTTGAGGGCTCAGTGCTGCACGACAGGTGGCCATCACTCAGCACTGTGGGCAGGATTCCCTGGTGCCATTTATTCAATATTCAGCATCCCTAATGGCCAATAGTCCTGAGTTGTTTCTTAATAAAATAACTTTCCCCTCTCCATTTAAAAAATAACGTTTTGTTTTTGGTTGTTTAATGTTTCCTTTGAAAATGCAAATTTCCAACAAGGGTATTTGGCTTTAGTAAGATACCTTGTCATGAAGCATCAGCCAGGCAGCCCGGGTGCTGGAACTACCATCCAGACTCAGAGGCCCCCTGCCTCTCGGGGACCAGCGCCTGCTGCTCAAAGCAGAGCCCACCCAGAGCCCTCCAAGGGCTATCCTGGATTTAGCACCAGTCAGTCTCTCAGAGAACACATCACTGCTAGTTTCAGTTTAGAATCTAGTTTCAGTTTCCTTTTTCTGTTTATTCTCTTTGATGTCTCAAGACTAACTGCACTCTGTAGTGCTCTTTTCAGGAATACCTCTTGACCTTCTAGGGAATAGTCTTTCCTAACTCAATAGACGCATGGAATAATGACAGGGCAGAACCGTGACACAACACAAACCTATGAGAAGGCCATGATAAGTATCAGGTGTTCATGGCTGGATTTAACTCAGGGGAGGTGCCGCCGGACACAGTGAAAGAGAGCGCTAAAGTACAGCGTTAACTACGGGGGCTTCCGCCACATCAGTCAGGCTCTACACGTAGGTGTATCCGTCACAACTTTCAAGTAGGCTGTTCTTAATCAAATCATCCACTTTTACTTTCCTAAATGATCTTCAAAGACTTTTGCGACTATGAACATGGACACTCACACACTCAATCGTCCTTGGCCCAGGGTCGCAGTCTGAAGGGATGGGTATTGCGTGATTTTTGAAGACCGAAGGACCTTGTCTTCATATGAAACTACAGCACCTTCACATGTGCAAGTAATTTGAGATCCATCACACTTTTTTTCTAAATGAAATATTTTAAAGATAACAATGCACATCTAACAATAAACAGATGCCAGTTAGAAAAATCTGCCTTTTCTACAGGGAAAAAACAAGTTAAGTTAAAGAGTTCACGTAGGCTGTAAGCCGAAAGCTGAGGTCAGAGAACTTGAGGGGGCGAGGAAGGAGCAAATCTGATTTCCTGAGCCCACCTGGCAGGTGGCCATGGGCCGTTAGCTGGCCTGCCCCATCTGCTGATTTGGGAATTTATTATCGGTCTATGTCAAAGGACGTTTCACCAGTATCACAGGGTGCCAGAGACACTCCAGGCAAGTTCAGAGGCAGAAGTCCAGCTCTGAAAGGGCCAATGATCTTGGTAATCAAAAGTGTAAGAGAAGAGTGTCGATAGGGCCAGTTATTGGACAAACATTGCACTCTGCCCACAGACTCTACCTTCTGGAGCGATGCACGTAGTCTCCAAATCCTGCTCACGTTCGGTAGGAAGTGCATTAGGGGATGACAGCAACGTGCTGAACACAGCACCCACTCATCCCCCTCCACTGCAAGCTGTTTGCATGGATGTCAAGGACGCTGTCTGGGCAGGCCAGGACCCTCTGGCTATCTGCTGGATGCCTCCTTCTAGGGGCAATGCCAGGGACTGGCCCCGA